GAGGCGACCACCTGGCGGAGGAACCGGAGCACAGCCGTCTGCACTGAAGGGGGCGCCCTAAGGATAGGTAAGAAAGGGGTTTTATTATTGCATGAAAAGATAGGGAAAAAGAACAGGGAAAAGGAGACGGGGGTGTCTCAGGGGAGCCACCAAGCAGGGCCTCCCAGTAAGGGTACTCGCTGACCAGAAAAGAACTGGGGGGAGAAGAATACTGCTTGTGTAGTATTCAGTGGGCCCAGTGTGTGTGTGGTGTGAGTGAAATCCCCAAAGGGTCACGTGTGGATATTGCCCCAGAGAAAAACGCTCTAAAAGAGGGGACAGTTTAATCTGAGGGTTTGGGATATTGTCTCAAGGCAAAGAGGCCTTGGAGGGTTAATGATGATTTAAAGGTAACTCCCTGAGAGAGGGAACGGTTACTGTTGTGCGTCAATAAGTTGTTTAGAGAGAGGGGGGGTCTGTTTTGTGAAGTTAAAGTTGTATTCCCCTAGAGACAGGGGGTCTATTTGTTGTTCCGCCCTAAAGAGAGGGGTCCGTTCATTTTTGTGGAGCAGAAATATTGTGTTTTTGAAGTAAAGACATAGTTGCGGTAGAAGAAGGCCAGAGAGAGCCTGTGTAGTAAAAGTGATTCCGAAGTTCCGCCCTAGAGAGAGGGGGTCTGTCTGTTTGTTTTAAGTTGTGAGGGAAAAGTACTGTTATGTTGTAAAACAATGCATTGTTTAAGATAATTTTGAAATAGATAAGGCCTGCATGGTAAAAACTGGGGGTATCGTGTTGAGAGAAGAAGGTCTGCTGGATCGGACTGATTGTGCTATAAAAAATACTGTAGGAGGAAAAGGTCCCAGAGCGTTAGTTAGTTTAATGGGGAAAATTTATGAGCCAGTGGAGAAAGCGGACATACATGGTTTTGGGCCAAGACAGAGGAAGAGTGCGTACAATTAGCAAATAAGTTGAGAATTAAATGTGCAGGAATAGTTTCAGTAATAAAAATTGTATGGAGTCTAAATTAGTAGGAGGTGAATTGATAGGGACACAGAAGGAAGTATTTGTGAGCTTTAATGCAAAAACATTCTCTGTAGCATAAGTGTGGGTAGGTTACTGTAAAATTTGGACAAATCTTAAACTTAAAGCAACGGTAAGGTGTTGTGATTGGGGAGAACAGTATAAGATTAAGCACGCAAGGGAAGTAGTAGATAATTAGTGAAACTTTTGAAAATAGTGCAGGGGCTGACCATGAGGAAAATCTTGGTAGCCTTTATACTTGGGGTGTAAATGACACCTTTCGCGATACGATACAATATCGATTCCTTAAGCCAACGGTTCGATTTTTTTTGATACCATACGATTTGACTCAGTTCGATACTGGGGATTGTAGTCGAAATGATTTCACACCAACACACATATAGGGCTTTGAGGTGCAGGTGTGTCGCTGGGATGCAGGGGTGGTATTTCTCCTATGTCCCCTCGTGACCACCTGTGTCTCAATCATACACCACAACTTAGACACTCTCATTACTTACTCTATCATGACACATATGTTACGTTCCTGTTTATTCTGGGTAAGGCTGTCTTATGTTTTTTTTTAGGTTACAGGTGGTGGTGGTGTTTTGTTTTTATAATTGATTACAGGTGAGACCTGTTGGATGGGTGGAGTCTTCCCTATTAGAGCCCCGGGTCCACCTGTATCATGGAGAGAGCTTCGACGCCACGCTGAGTGTTCCTGCTGCTGAGATTTTTGTTTATGTTGATATTATGTTTTGCTACTCTCTTATATTTCCCAGACGTTTGTGTTGGTGCTTATTTTTGGTAAATAAAAACCCTAGATCGTTGAGCCAGCTGGTTTGGGTCTTTTATGTTGCGGTCATTGATTTGGCCGTAACAACATACATTTAGGGCCTTGGGGGTGGGCACACAAAATGGCATCAGGGGGGCAGTCTGTTTACTCAGCCTTACCTCTGTTGCCAGTGCCCACTTCTCAATTTTAAATTGCACATAGACATTGAGGGTTCTGGGGAGGGGCCGAGCTGACACCAGCTGCTGATTGGCAGAGGGTGGTTAGCACCATGCCCTTCCCCTGTTTTAAAGCACTTTAGAACAACACGCACCAACACCACATATGAGCGGGCGGAGGGAGGCATGGGGTCTTTTCACACCCCCGTTCTCTGTTCGCCCTCTGGATCCGGGGGCTGAGAAGAAGAGCTGGCCGTCCGGTCGGGGTCTGGGCTGGTGGGCTTCTCGGCTGCTGCGGGGTCCGGGGTGATCTTCTTGTCCCCACGCCAGAGGAAAAAAGGGGTCCATCTCCGGAGTCTGGTGGCAGATAGCCCCTCTGGGGGTGGTGGTGCCTGGGTCTCGTAGTATAGAGTATATATGGGGAGTGTGAGTGTGTGTACGGCGTTCATTTCTGTGTGTCTCCATGTTGGGCGAATGGGTGAGTATTTGTTTATGTGTGCATGAGGGTGGGAACGTATGCTTGTGTATGTGTATGCCTGTTTGTCTATACGCATGTGTCAGGTTGGGTCTTAGACTCTACCTGAAATAACATTTCAGGCTCTATTCCCCCCCGCCACACTCCCTGCCGGTGGATGAGGCCCCCGGCTGCCGATGCGTTGGTGGTTCTCGATGTCCGGGG